TGGCAAAGGGGCTTGCAGACACCCCCAGCCAGCTGCCTCGCTGCCTCAGCATGGCAGGCCGCCAGTCCGGGTGTGTTTAGCATGGAGGAGCGCTGTCCTGTTGCCGTTGCCATGAAGTTGGTAAGCCGACGATGTGCAAGTGCTGTTGCACGCCAGTTCCACATGTGCTTCTTTCTTGTCTGACTCGCTTGCCTGCTGGCCGGTGCTTGCTTCCTTTGCTTTGCGTTGCTTTGCTTTGTGTGCTTCCTTGCGTTGCGTTGCGTTGCGTTGCGTTGCGTTGCGTTGCGTTGCGTTGCGTTGCGTTGCGTTGCGTTGCGTTGCGTTGCGTTGCGTTGCGTTGCGTTGCGTTGCGTTGCGTTGCGTTGCGTTGCGTTGCGTTGCGTTGCGTTGCGTTGCGTTGCGTTGCGTTGCGTTGCGTTGCGTTGCGTTGCGTTGCGTTGCGTTGCGTTGCGTTGCGTTGCGTTGCGTTGCGTTGCGTTGCGTTGCGTTGCGTTGCGTTGCGTTGCGTTGCGTTGCGTTGCGTTGCGTTGCGTTGCGTTGCGTTGCGTTGCGTTGCGTTGCGTTGCGTTGCGTTGCGTTGCGTTGCGTTGTTGCGGCGTTGCGTTGCGTTGCGTTGCGTTGCGTTGCGTTGCGTTGCGTGGTTGCGTGGCGTGGCGTTGCGCGTGCGTGCGTTGCGTTGCCGTTGCGTTGCGTTGCGCGTTGCGTTGCGTTGCGTTGCGTTGCGTTGCGTTGCGTTGCGTTGCGTTGCGTTGCGTTGCGTTGCGTTGCGTTGCGTTGCGTTGCGTTGCGTTGCGTTGCGTTGCGTTGCGTTGCGTTGCGTTGCGTTGCGTTGCGTTGCGTTGCGTTGCGTTGCGTTGCGTTGCGTTGCGTTGCGTTGCGTTGCGTTGCGTTGCGTTGCGTTGCGTTGCGTTGCGTTGCGTTGCGTTGCGTTGCGTTGCGTTGCGTTGCGTTGCGTTGCGTTGCGTTGCGTTGCGTTGCGTTGCTTGCTGCCTTGCTTGCTTGAGTGCTTGCTTGAGTGCTTGCTTGCTTGCTTGCTTGCTGTAATCCTGTCCTTGGAGCAGTGACAACTTGGTTGCGCAGATGATCAGGGGCGAACACTGAAAGTGTGAGTGCAGGGGTGAGCCGTGCATTTGAGTAATGTCCAAATGGAATTACACATTGCACCCGCAATAAAGACAACTGGGGGGCCCAAAAAAATAATAAATGCACCTGGATTAAAGACAAGCACCCGCCACCCGCGAAAAAAAAAAAAATCCCCCCCCCCAAAAAACAAAGAACGAGAGAAAGGAGAGGAGAGATAGCCAAGCCAACACCTGGTCCTTGGATCTTTGGTACCTTGTTCCTTAAATCCAAAATTGTCAGCTTCACCAAACCCATGTGTTCTTACATGTATCTTGTTTAAAACCTGCAAACAATCAAACCCACAAAGGGGGTAGTACTTCAGCCCCCAACTTGGCATTCTTTCAGGGGCCCCCGAAATAAATTCTTGTTGCCTGGCCCCCTGAAAAATACAACCTGCCCAGTGCAATTGCCTCTTAGCTAGTCAAGTAGTTAGACAGCCTAGGTGAGGCTGGCAGTGCTTCATGCTGTGTTGTTAGATTTGGGCCTGCTCCTCAAATTCAAAATTGTCAGCTTCACCAAACCCGTGTTTTCTTACATGTCTCTTGTTTAAAACCTGCAAACAATCAAACCCACAAAGGGGGTAGTACTTCAGCCCCCAACTTGGCATTATTTCAGGGGCCCCCAAAATAAAGTCTTGTTGCCTGGCCTTCCCAAGAAAAACAAAAGCAAGCTCCAGCAATACTAAATCAAATGGAAACTCAAGTCTACCGATACTAAATCAAATGGAAACTCAGTTCCAAATCTCAAAAAGGAAGCTCCAGCAATACTAAATCAAATGCAAACTCAAGTCTACCAATACTAAATCAAATGGAAACTCAGTTCCAAATCTCAAAAGGAAGCTCCAGCAATACTAAATCAAATGGAAACTCAGTTCAAAATCTCAAAAGGAAGCCCCAGCAATACTAAATCAAATGGAAACTCAAGTCTACCAATACTAAATCAAACGGAAACTCACTTCACCTGCATCTCAAGATACTATTCTGGGTACCCCCTTTACTAATCCCATTTGGACATTAGGATGCCCACGCGCGCATGGACACCGGCCTGGAGCTTGTCTTGCGCCAGAGCTGTTCCTGCTAATTGGTGTCATCCAGGTTGGTACAAACTGACAAGTGATTTTGTTTTGTGGCTTGTGTAGAAGAGGCCACCACGTCCGAGCCCTCAATTGCAACCAGTCCCTGCTCTGATTACGGGCTGCCAAGCAGACAATCTGAAAGCTCTCGTTAGTGCATTTGTTGCTATGCTCCAGTTGGCTTGAGAAATAGACATCCTTTTGGTTGGGGGTGAAAGAGAAGACGAAATGAGGCCATTTGCTTGTTTCTGGCATCTTCCGTTTTTGCTCTGCTGGTTTTGTTTGGCCACGAGGGCTCCCCCGTTTTTGTTGGAGGGTCTGCAACTGCGGAAAAAACGATCATTGCTCTGTGGGCGGCTTCTGCTGCCTGCTCGAACGCATTATTTTGTTTGGGGGAAGGACCGCTTCTGTGATTGGTCTCCCCTCTTCGGGAAAACTGACGCCAGTTTTGGGGGGTCCCCCTTTGAGACAACAAAACACACCCCCACATTGACACCATGGTACTTCGAAACCACATTTCGCCATTAGTATTGGAGAAGTAAGCGGAAAAGGCAGTTGTTTGTCCGAAGCACTGCCCAAGGTCTGCTCACTGAAGAGGCCCTGGTGCACGAGATCGACCGCAGGCAAACACCGCGATCCGCCGCCTTTTTTTTTTTCTCCGTGCGGTTCGGTAAGCCTCGCAAGCACAGGTGTGGACAATGGCCTCCGATTTCTGCGAGACCAAAAGAGCCCTCTTTTCAGTGATAAAATAGTCCTGGACACGGGCCACGTTCACTCAAAGCGCGAATTTCCAGCGGCACTCATTGGACCCATGGGAAAAGGGTCCCTCAGGGGCGCGAATGTCCCGGTGAACCAAGCCATCAAGCCTGGGATGCGTTTGAGCATCACTATCCCTACGTCTTTAAGGACGGAATTTTGCCTGTGGCATCATTCAATTTGGCTAGCCTCCCACATGAAAACTGAGGAAACTCCCAAGATGATGTTCCGTTCACAGGGACCTTGGTGTGTGCCCAGCCAGCCCTGTCAGGATGCAGGAGCCCTGAGGGACTGCCTCCTTGCTTTCTTTTGCGGGTGCAAAATCAGGCTCTGGATGCGCTGGAAACGTGGGTGGTGCGGTGACTGCGCCGTTTTGGTTGCTTCTGTTTATTGCGGACGGTGCTTTGGGAAGTCTGGGAAGTACGTCGGACTCCCTGGGCGCTTATGGCCTGTGGCATGCGGGCTGCAAGCGCAGGAAGCACGTTGATGGTGGACCATCTGGGTGGCCCATGTTGGCCGCATGCCCTCCAAAGAAAGCATTGACTGTGGCTCAGTCGTATAACTTTGGTGTGGTTCAAGTGCCAGGTTGCTCATTTGGAGGTAGTTGTCCAGTTGGCTGCCCCTAGACAAGCCGCAAAAACGGGTGAGCGACTTATGGCCCTGCCTTTCCACATAAAATCACAAAACAACAAAGGGCAAACCTCCATGGTTTCCTACATACACAATTGCAAGCCCTGGCCTCTCCTCAACTTGGCAGTTGACGACAGGGTCCAAATCACAAGGCCCACAAGGCCCATTGCCCTCTGATTCTTGGAGAATGGGTAAATCATTCTTGGACAACATCAGTGGGTATCAAAACAATTTGGGGGGAGGGGGGAGCAATGACTTAATGGCAATGGGGGGAGGGGATTCGATTCATTGCTTCGGCCGCGGGCCGAAGAAACCGAATTTCTGCCACAGAAGTCGAGCGACTTGCGGGCGGGAGGCAGCTGGAGGTGCTGGGCATCCACGAACAGCTGTGCGGGCCTTGGAGAAAAGAAGTGCCAGATGGGTCCACTTACCCAGAGTCCCAAAGGCTATGTTGTATCGGGTACGCTATATCGGGGCTCCTTAAAAGATACATTTTGCCCATTTGAAGCATGTTGCTTTTTCCACCAAAAAGGGAAACCACCATGTACAAGGCAATGTTCAGGTGTATAATGTAAGGATCCCTGTATATACAAGAAGAATCAGACACAACTTTTCCGGAGTACAAATGTGAGCTAAGGTGCCAAGTATAGGTTTCAACCATGGTCCAAACATGGGCCCAGTAAGGGACACGTGTCTTGCTGTTGCAGGACTTCCAGGAAGACAAACCGAGTCTGGTACCATCTACCTTCAAAACGTTGCCCCCAGTTCACCCCCAATTTAATTGTAAACCACTTAACCTTCCCAACCACTTATGGAACTTCACATTGACATAGGTCCTAGGTCTCCTTGCTATCCTGGGGTTTTTGTTGTGTATCCTTTTTCGGGTTGGTTTAAAGGGAAACCAAAGAGAAACCACTTGGGGGCTCCCACCAAAGAAAGACTTGTCACCCAATCATCGAGAACTACTCCAAGAGTTAGGTCTCTTAGGGAAGAAGAAGAAGAGCTCCTTTCGGCTTGGTTTAAATGGAAACCAAAGGGAAGCCACTCATCTTGGGGTCTCCCCCCAAAAAAAAATCCAGTCTGCCTTCCTTTCGGAGCCGAGGTCGCAGCAGGCCCTCGAGGAGCAGCGCCTCACCCAGCAGCTAACAGCCCCCGGGCGCGCGCTCGGGCCTCGGGCGCCCGGCGGAAAGCTTTCTGTCAGTCTGTGTTTTGTTCCCTTCGTTTTGTCCTTTTTGTGTCCGCGCTTTTTGCGGGGGCAGAGGAGCAGTGTGCTTTGTCTCCTCCTTTTGTCTTTTTTGTGTCCGCATTGCCGCATTGTTCCTGGTTGTTTGCTCCTTGGGCCCGTGATTTATTTGCTGGGTTCAGCCCGACGTTCTGCCTTTTTCAAACATTTGGCCTCTCCAGCTTTTAGCTGCGGTTATAGCTCCTGTTGGGCAACCCTCCTTTTGACGTCCACATGGCCAGCCCAGGATTCGGCCAGGCCAAGGGGGATGAATTACCTATTCTGGGCAAGCCGATAAAGCCGTGCTATTGTGGAATGTGCCCCGACTGTGTCAGGTGCAAAAGGACACCCGGATCCGAATTGCCACTAGGCATTAGCCCTCCAGGATTATGGTTGCATTGTCGGACTCGTCGAACCATTTTGCTCGTTTGCCCTTTCAGGTGTCCTCTACTTAACTCCCTTTGGAGCAAAAGGTGATATAGCTTTTTGTAGATCTAAGACTGGCCAAGGTTGTTTGTTTCTCGTTACCTCACTTGTGACTTCTCGCTTGAGGCTGACCTGCCGGCAGTGTGACACTCGCATCTTCAACTTGCAGTTGCGATCTCAGGAAGGCGAACTCACCCGATCTTGGACAAACTCACCCATGAAGCGATCTTGGGGGAGTTAACTTCCAAGTTGTGAATTATAGTAATCTTGCTGGTTCTCAGCAGGGAATGAGTGAATGACCCCTATAAATCATCCCCCATGGTTTCCTTTCAGGGAATCCCTAGGTTCAATCCCGCCACCCTAGGTCATTCCCTAATGAGCATCACCATGTCATTTGCCCAGATGGATTCCATTTGCTGATTTTATTTTTTTTTAACGAAAATAAGCTCCCTTTTGGCTTGAACGGCAATTGGCCATGAGAGGTGAATCTGCTATATTTTAGTGGCAGCTGCAAGTCACAGACTATGGGTCGTGGCTTTTGGCGTCGTATCCCATTTACAAAATGGGCGGCTGGCATAGTGCTTGGGGTCCCATGAATATCACCCTATGGATTTCTCGAGGTATGCCAAGCTTTTCTCTACGGTGTGGCAGGATTGAAACATCACCAACGGGGGTGCCCTGAAAACGCAACAACCTTCTGGTGTCCCTTCTAAGCAACCCCTGTTGGGTTTTCCTGTTGTTACCCCAAAAACTACAACCTGTCACTCGTGTGAAGGCAAATCGCCCGATCTTGCTGGAATCGCCGAGGCACCTCTTCCGCGGCCTGGCGACGCTGTGCGACATGGCACCAGCGCCCGGTGCACGCGGCCGGCTTCGTTTAATTGGAAGCCACCAGCTTGCACTCTTTTTGAATGGGACATTTAAGGACCCGACAAAAAAGGGGTCCTTTTTATGGACGGTGAATCTTGGGTTGTCTTTCAGAATAGCCTCCAAGATGGCCCGTGCCCTCGTCTGGGTCCCAGCAAGAGGGTTTCTTATGGGCCTGGGTTGTAAAAGTTGCACCTTGGTTTCCGGGAAGCCAAACTGACAACCGGGAGATCTGATTGCACTACCCCCCCCATCGGGACACCTGCCGGTTAAAACCGACGTCGCTGAAGCACTTTTAAGCTGAACTAGGGGAGATGGTCCCAGACTGCATTGGCTTAACCCATGGGATGCTTTCCCTGAACTTTGGCCTTCGACAAAATATTTGCTCAGGTCTGCGCTTGTTTGTGTTTGGTCTCTTTTGTGGGATGCTTGTATCTCTTGGGATGGTTGCTTGTATGGTTGGACCAACCCCTTGTTTGAACAGTGTTGGCTACTCCTGTTCCGTTGTTTTAGTTTTCATTATTTCCCATTAAAAGGCTGGTTGTGCAGGCAAGTGTTCTCGCTTTTGTTCGGTACGGTGTGAAGGTGGACTAAAGGGTGACCCAAAGAAAATCAGTTGATGTCTCTTCTTTTTTCGGAAACCCATGCGGGGGCTTCTCAAAATGGTGGACCCGGCATCTCAAAGGGGAATCCCCCCCCCCTTTAAAAAAAAAAAGGACGAGGCACCCCACGTTGGCCGGTGGCACTCGAGCCCGAGGCCATCCAGCTGCACTTGCCGCCCATGGAGAACGCAGGGGCGGCAAGTCCGAGGGAGCGAGCTTGGAGACGGGGCAAGTGAACACCAGCTCAAAACCAGATCTGATTTGGGGGTTGATCGATTTTCCTGCCAGGGCCATTTTTGCCACTTTTCCCATGCAAATATTTAAATATTTATCAACTTTTGGGCGGTTTCCCCAATGTTCATCCCATGTAAGGGACCTTTTGATCAACACCCATTCAGAGGATCCCGGATCCCCCTGGAAAGTAAGTGGTTTTGGATGCATCCTTTAAGGAACCCTGTTGAAAGAACCCATGCCACTGGAATGAACTACGGGTTGGAGCCGCCGCTGTCCAACGGTATTGTCCAAGAGCATCCAAGGTCCCCTTCAAAATCACCCCACTAAGAGAAGCGCACTGAACAGCCTAAAAGCTTTTTTCGTTTGGCGGGTTTTGAAGCGAAACCAAAAATGGACGAGCCACCATGTGTTTGGGTCCCCTAAAAAAGACGCCACCAAGAGAAAACCCTATCGGCTTTGGGGACGCTCAGGTGGACTACTTGGTGGACCCGGCCGAGCCGCCGCTTCCGGTGCGCAGCGCAGGGGGGTGCCGTTTGTTTTTTTGGGTCCCCAGGAAGACGCTCCGGCCA